ATATGGCAGAACTACCTTAGACCATGTTCCAACTTCACTCTTTTCCTTAAATTTTATTTTATGCTCCTTTCCAAAAAAGTTGCTTTTTAGTTTTTGTTTGTTTGCTTGTTTATTCATTTGCAAAAGGGAGTTGGCAAACCCAAAACATGGTTGGATGTCAAAGGAGTTGGTTAGAACATTTGAGTCCTATACAAACACCATAATCTAAGGTCTTGGCCCAAGCTACAAACAATTTCAAGAAACAACAAGTACACAGTGATTAAGTTGAAGCTAACATAAAAGGATTTCCAAGGTTGAGACCCTATGGATCCCACAGGGGAGAGGAATAAGAAGCACTTCATTGAGAGTTCCCTACTCAATATAGCTCTCATTAAGTGCTCACCAATTTAAATGTAATTCCACCAATAACCACTCTGTGAGGAAGGTGTTGTTATTCTCCCTATTGAACAGATAAGAAGGCAAGTTTCAGAGAGGTGAAGTGACTTTCCTGAGTTCAAACCGTTACTAAATGGCAGAGCCAGGATTTGAACTCATGCCTAACACACAGTAGAGTCTCAGCTCATGCATATTGTTTATGGAATGAATAAATGAATGAACAGTCTTTTTGAGTAGAACTGTTCTGTATCTTGATTGGGTCAGTATCAATACCTGGTTGTGATGTTGTACTATAGTTTTGTAAGATATTACCATTAGGAGAACTGGGTAAAGTGTTCAAGGGATCCCTCATTTTTATTCCTTACAACTGCATGTGAATCTACAATAATATCAAAATTAAAAGTTTAATTAAAATAAAAACTATGCTAAGGAAAGAAGCCAGACACAAAAGGCCACATATTATATTATTCCATTTATATGAAATGTCCAGAAAGGCAAATATATAGAGATAGAAAGTTGTTAGAGATAGTAAAGTTGATAGAAAGTGATTGCCCAGGGGTGGGAATGGGGAGTGACTGTGCATGGGCCTGAGGGATCTTTTGGGGGCAATGCAAATGTTCTAAAACTCAACTGTGGTGATAGTTGCCCAACTCTGTAAGTTTACTAAAAATCATTAAATTCTACACTTACAATGGATGAATTGTATGGTGTGTAAACTATGCCTCAATAAAGCATTTTTAGGTAAGTTTCTGTATATGTAAAATTACTGCAAAATAAAAGATTTATTTTGAAAAAATGAAGTAGTGTTAAAGAACAAAATAAAGACTTGAGACCCTCCCCACAAAAAAGGAAAGACGTAAAAAGATCAATAACTATGACTATATCTATATGCCAAAATACATAAAATTAAAAGACAAATGACAAACTGGGAAAATATTTGCTACAGTTATAACAGACAGTGTGTCAGTATTCTCAATATATAAAAGCTTTTTAAATACTAGCATCCCCAAACAAAAATGGGTAAATGACACTCTCTTCGGATTCATTTGTTTACAAGAAAGAAAAGCCACTCTAGCTCTCTTGTTGTAAAGATATAACAGGTAGTCTCATAGTCATCTAAGGACCAGAAAAGTGGTGTACACAGGGAATAGTACTGGAAAGGCAGGAACAGAGACTGCCCACTCTCTCACGGACCTGTGTAGCTCTTCTTTCTGCTTGTCTGTTTCATCATCCTCTGAATCTCTTAGCTCAAATTCTCAAGACTCTGGCAAGCCATGGATTGATTTTACTTGGATCAGCTGTCCACTGTGTGTCCAAATAGCTGTCACTATTATAAAGATAAGGCTTTAGATTATCTGAGACAGAGCAATAGACAGAACAAGCAAATTCACTGACATGTCTATGATAGACATAGACCAGCCATAGAAGTAAATATGTGTTTGGGAAAAATATGCAACCTCATCATTAGCAATCAAAGAGACAGAAATTTAAATAGCAAGAGACTTTTTTTGCCCATAAAAACATCAAAGATTAATGATAATTCATGCTGACATACTACTGGGAGATAGGACAAATGGGTCTGGAAAACAATTTTTTTAATTAATTAATTTGTTTTTATTTTTGGCTGTGTTGGGTCTTCATTGCTGTGCGTGGACTTTCTCTAGTTCCGGCGAGCAGGGGCTACTCTTCGTTGTGGTGCACGGGCTTCTCATTGCAGTGGCTTCTCTTGTTGCAGAGCACGGGCTCTAGGCGCGCAGGCTTCAGTAGTTGTGGCACGCGGGCTCTAGAGTGCAGGCTCAGTAGTTGTGGCGCCCGGGCTTAGGTGTTCCGTGGCGTGTGGGATCTTCCTGGGCCAGGGCTCGAACCCGTGTCCCCTGCATTGGCAGGCGGATTCTTAACCACTGTGCCACTAGGGAAGCCCTGGAAAACAGTTTTGCAATATGTATTGAGGACCTTTAAAATGGACATAGCCTTTGACATAATAATTCCACTTCTAGAAATCTATCTTAAGGGAATGAATAATCAGAGATACAGCGAGATTTATATATGTGAATATCTTTGTAGTATTTTTTATAATAAAAGAAAAACAATGAACAGTATAAGTGTCCAATATTATAGGATATTTAAGTAAATTGATAAACATACGAGGAACATACAGTCATTTGAAATCATATTTTTGAAAAGTATTTAATGAATGAAAGGTTCTTATAGTATTATGTTGAGTGAAAAAAGCAAGATATAATATTTTATATATAGTGTGAAAGAGAGAGAAAAAATTGAGATTTGAGATGCTAGGAAGAAAGAAGCCAAAATCGTGAACTTAACAGTGGTTATATCTAAATGGTAAGATTACAAATTATTTCCGTTTTTACTTTTCCTTTTCTTCATACATTTTTTGGCTTTTTAAATGTTTTCTGAATGAGAATGAACTTGAACTTTTGTAATCAGAATAAAATCATAAATGTTGCTTAAAATTCAAAGACAGGGAGGAAAGACATGGAGTAAAAGTAGAGACCACTAAATATTAAAGCATATTTAAAATTTAAGTCAGTATGGTACTGGCATGAGAAATAAAACACAGAATAAATAGGGTAGAAACAGATTCTTGTACGTGTAAGAATTTAATATAAGATATGGGAGGCTTCACCAAATAGTAAAAGAAGGATTATACCATGATTGAATTAGTTACAAATAGTAACCAAGAGTTCTGCTATGCCATATGCTAAGTGCTTTTACATTCATTTTCTCCTTTACTTATTACAACCTTTGAGATTTAGATAGTATTATCCCCATTTTAGAGATGAGTGAACTCAAGTCCCTAGAGTTTTAGGCATTTGCCCAGAGTCACATATAAAAGTAGTGGAACCTATGTTGGAACCAAGTATGTCAGATTGCAAGTCTCTATTCTGTTCTACCACATTCTATGTATATAAAGTTCCTGGCAAGGTATCTAGAATACAAGAGGCATGTAGTAAGTGTTATTCCTATGAGTAACTTATACTTTTCTGCATATATTATAATGTAATATTTAATGCTTTATATAGTATATACAATAATGTAAATACTAGTAATAGTAATATGATAAATATATCATCTTAATAACTCTTGTCTTTGTCCCCTGGCCTTCTCTGTGCCCTCAGCCAGTGCCTTTGTTCAGACCTCTTTGGCCACAGGTTGCTTCAGTTGCCTCCTAACTGGTATCCATACCTCTTGTCCCTTACCCTCTGAGCCAGTCAATATCAAACCAATCTCCTGCTGACAATCCTTAACTGTCTTCGTATATTTTCAGGGTGAAGGTCCAAATTTCTTAATATTGTTTCTGAGACCCTTCACGATCTGGCCTACTTTCTTTTTTTTTCCAGTTTTATTGAAAAATAATTGACATACATCACTGTATAATTTTAAGGTCTACAGCATGATGGTTTGATTTACATACATTGTGAAATGATTACCACAATAGCTTTAGTTAACATCCATCATCTCATATAGATACAATAAAAATAAAAGAGAAAAAATTTCTCCTTATGATGAGAACTCTTAGGTTCTACTCTCTTAATAACTTTCCTATATACCGTGCATCAGTGTTAGCTATAGTCACCATGTTGTACTTTACATCCCTAGTACTTAACTTATCTTTTAACTGGAAGTTTATACCTTTTGACCACCTTCTAATTCCTCCTCCCCCACCTCCCCCATCCCCTGTCTCTGATAACCACAAATATAATCTCCTTTTCAATGAGTTTGGTGGGGTTTTTAAAATTTATTATCGTATTCCACATAAAAGTGAGATCGTACAATATTTTTCTGTCTCTGACTTATGTCGCTTAGCATAATGCCTTCAGGGTCTATCCATGTTGTTGTAAGTGGTAGGATTTCCTCATTTTTGTATGGCTGAATAATATTCCATGGTATATATAAACACCACAACTTCTTTAGCCATTTGTTCATTGATGGATGCTTAGGTTGTTTCCATGTCTTGGCTATATAATACCGCAGTGAACATGGGGGTGCAGGTATCTTTTCAAGTGCATGTTTTTGTTTCCTTTGGATATAGCATTACAGGAGGTAGAATTGCTGGATGATGTAGTCGTTCTAGTTTTAATTTTTTGAGGGACCTCCATACTGTTTTCCATAGTTTGGCCTACTTTCTAATCTCACCTCCTGTCACTGCAAACCTGCTTAGCTCCAGCACTATGGGCCCTGGTATATCATACTGAACTCCACACCTCCATGCCTTTACACATGCTGTTCCCTTAGTCTAGAGCATCCTTTCTCCACCATTTGTCTCACTGATTTCTATAGCCCTTTGTAACAGCTCCTACTGACTTTTTCTTCAGGATGCCTTCCTTACTCTTCCAGTAGTAGCCCTCTTCTGTGCTCCTGTAGCACCCTGTGCATTCTTCTATCTTGGTACTTAACACACTGTCCTGTCTTTGTTGACATACGTGCCTGTCTCCTCTACTACCTAGATGGTAAGTAACCAAAGGCAGAGATTCTTTTACGTTATTTCATTGGAATTATCAGAACCTAGCTAGGGTCTGGCCCATGGCCAGACCCTAGCTTAATAAGTGTTTGTGAAATGAATAAATGAGCTTTTGTCACCTAATGATGCTTTTATCTTCTAGATATATGGTTCAGTGGCCTGGTGGCCGAATCCTGCATCGCCATGAGCTAGACACCTTCCTTGCACAGGCAGTATCTACTCAGCTTTATGAACCAGATCAGCTTCAAGAACTCAAGGTGATTTGATCGATCCTCATTTAAATTCTTTCTTTTATGAGCTCATAGCTTTATTTTAGGTCTTTTTTTCCTGGAGCTGGGGAGAAGAGTAAGTTCTGCAGGTAAATGTTTGATTTACTTTAGCCAAATATTTATGTCTATTAATAAAGCCAACACTGTTCACGTAGTGATAGGTGAGAATGGGTAGGAAAAAATGGATATTGTGTAAGGCAAATAAGTTGTGGCCCATAGGCCACAGTAAGGTTTCCAACTCTTACAAAAGATGCTACAGGGGACTTATCCTGGTGTTCCCTGTTTGTCTCTGAGTAAATGTCCACCCTCCCTTTTTTATTGAAGTATAGTTGATTTACAATATTGTGTTAGTTACAAGTGTAAGCACAGTGATTCAGTACTTTTGCAGATTATATTCCATTGTAGGTTATTATAAAATAATGGGTATAATTCCCTGTGCTACCCTCCCTTTTTAAATAATACTTATTGGGTGTTAGAGGAAAGTCTAGAAAAGCATAAGGAAGAAAGTAAATCCACCATATAACTGAAGGCAGTAGAATATAGTAGGTTGGAGGGCAGGCTCTGAAGCCAGGCTGGCTTGACTTTGAATCTTAGCTTCATTACCTTCTAGCTATGTGTCCTTGGGCAGGTTGCTTAACCCCTGTAGCTTCAGTTTCCTTACTTGTAGGGTTATGAAGATATTAAATAAAATAATCCATGCAAAACACTTAGAACAGTGTCTAGCACATTTTTAAGTACACAGTACTCAATAAATATTAGGTACTAATGCAGGACATTCCTCTTCTGACTTCAGTAGCCATGGTCCTTTCAGGCCCTAGTATAAACTAGAAGATAAAGCCTAGTAAGTCTTACAAAATCTTGATTTCAGTAGGGTCAACTAAGGAAAAGATGAAAACAGTCTTAGACAGACAGTGTGGGTTCCTTTTTACAGTAAATGTGATACTGCTTGGTGCTAGAGCAGGTACTGACAACTCCACACCACACCTAGGAGGGGGCCTGCAAGTACTTCCCCTTTTCCTGGTAAAGCCATCTAACAGGCCAACTTGAGATAACCACTGTGAACATTTTGATGGTTTTTTCCAGACTTTTGTCATGTATTTTCTACATAGTTGAAATATTATTTATGTAATTATATACTGTATTTTTAAACTTAATATAGCACATATTTTCTATGTCTTAAAATTTTCTGCTAAATATTTTATCATATGGATGTATCATTTAATTATTCTAATGTTGGCCATTTGGTTTCCAGTTTTCACCTATTATATGTAATTATTAACATCTTTTTTTAAAAATTTTTTAGGCTGCATTGGGTCTTCGTTGCTGCGCGCGGGCTTTCTCTAGGTGCAGCGAGCGGGGGCTACTCTTCGTTTCGGTGCGCGTGCTTCTCATTGCGGTGCACGTGTTCCTCATTGCAGTGGCTTCTCTCGTTGCGGAGCTTGGGCTCTAGGCACGCAGGCTTTGGGAGTTGTGGCACATGGGCTCAGTAGTTGTGGCTCGCGGGCTCTAGAGCACAGGCTCAGTAGTTGTGGCGCATGGGCTTAGTTGCTCTGTGGCATGGGGGACCCTCCTGGACTCGGGTTTGAACCCATGTCCCCTGCATTGGCAGGCAGATTCTTAACCACTGTGCCACCAAGGAAGTCCTGTAATTAATATCTTTATGCATAGAGCTTTATTCACATCTCTACTTCCTTAGAATAGATTCCTAAAAGTAGAATTTCTGAGTCAACAAATGTGAACATTTTTAAGGTTCTTGATATATATTGCTTAATTGTAATATACATTACTCATTAGTTTTATTTGAGTGTGCCCATTTATTTCACCATATCCTCATCAGCACTGGGTGTTCTTTTGGTCTTTAGTTTTGTTTTAATTTTTTTCTAATTTGACAGGCAGAAAAAATGGTTCCTCAAGTGGGTGTCTTTTTAAGGTTTTAAAGCTGATTTTTTTTTTTTTGTAATGAGTATCATCCAAACCATCTCAGGGAAACAAATGGATGGAGGCCGCTTATGCACTCAAATGTCTGTATTGAAAGGCAACATGTTCTAATTTAACTGGAATAATCAGCAAAACAGGAATAAGCAAATGTAACCAATAACAGTAATTTCTTTTTTTTTAACACCTTTATTGGAGTATAATTGCTTTACAATGGTGTGTTAGTTTCTGCTTTATAACAAAGTGAATCAGTTATACATACACATATGTTCCCATATCTCTTCCCTCTTGCGTCTCCCTCCCTCCCACCCTCCCTATCCCACCCCTCTAGGTGGTCACAAAGCACCGAGCTGATCTCCCTGTGCTATGTGGCTGCTTCCCACTAGCTATCTATTTTACGTTTGGTAGTGTATATATGTCCATGCCACTCTCTCACTTTGTCACAGCTTACCCTTCCTCCTCCCCATATCCTCAAGTCCATTCTCTAGTAGGTCTGTGTCTTTATTCCTGTCTTGCCCCTAGGTTCTTCATGACCATTTTTTTTCCTTAGATTCCATATATATGTGTTAGCATACGGTATTTGTCTTTCTCTTTCTGACTTACTTCACTCTGTATGACACACTCTAGGTCCATACACCTCACTACAAATAACTCAATTTTGTTCCTTTTTATGGCTGAGTAATATTCCATTGTATATATGTGCCACATCTTCTTTATCCATTCATCTGTTGGTGGACACTTAGGTTGTTTCCATGTCCGGGTTATTGTAAATAAAAATATGGAATGCTTCACGAATTTGGGTGTCATCCTTGTGCAGGGGCCATGCTATTCTTCTCTGTATCGTTCCAATTTTAGTATATGTGCTGCCAAAGCAAGCACTAACAGTAATTTCTTAATGGTAGTTTTTCCTCTGTGGTGGTTTCAGATTGAGAAACTGGATGCTCGAGGGATCCAGCTAGCTGCCCTCTTCATGAGTGGGGTCGACACAGCTCTGTTTGCTAATGATGCCTGTGGCCAGCCAGTCCCTTGGGAACACTGCTGCCCCTGGATTTACTTCGATGGCAAGCTGTTCCAGAGCAAGCTAATTAAAGCAGGCCGGGAGCGAGTATCCCTGGTTGAGCTCTGCGATGGCCAGGTACCACATGTTGGGCAGCTGCTAAGACCGTCTCTGATCTTCTGTGGGGATGAATGACAGAAAGCGGAAAATGAGCCGAGACATTGGGGAAGGAGGTAGCAGAAGTGGGAGAATGTGTCTGACCTTAACCTAACTTGGTCAAGGATGATCCCAAAGGCCCAGAGTCTGATATGTACATGTTACAAAATCATGTTGGGAAGCGTTTTTTTTTTTTTTTAATGAGCTTCAAGTTTTCATATTCCTTTTTTTGCTCCAAGTTATTTCTTCCCCATGGAATACTCAGATATACTCTATGCCTTTCCCCCAATTCTTAGAATTTCATTTCCCTTATTTATAAAAACTGTAAGTCACTTTTGAAAGTGGTGATATTTTTTATAAAGGAACTATTTTGGAAATAGAAGAGGGTAGTAAAGTAGATGGCAGAGTAAAAGCAGGGGATATTTTTTGCAGTAAAAGCTTCGAAAAGATGAGAGAAGTCAAGGGAAAGGAGCCCTTACTTACTTCTTTGTCCATTTGTGGGGTATAAGCTGAGAGACTAGAGCAGGGGGTCAGCAAACTATTAAAAATTTTTTTAATTTGAATTTTTATTCCAATAAAGCTTTTTGGAACATAGCCACATTCATTCATTTACATATTGTCCATGACTGCTTTCACACTACAGTGGCAGAGTCAAGTAGTTGTGACAGAAAATGTACAGCCTACAAAACCTATCTGGCCCTTTTCAGAACAAGTTTCCTGACCTCCGGACTAGAGGCATGGACTTATCCTGGACAGAGGTCATGGTCTCTGATCCTGGGTATGGGGGAGAAGGTTAAAAGGGTTTGTATATGTCAAGTTTTGTTCTCTCTTTTACCTTATTCTGTTACCTCCCCCTTAAAAAAATAACCTAGCCTATTGCTGGCTGTGTAATAGACAATTCATAAATACTTCTTGTTATATTTGTCTTCCTTGACCTAGTCAAGGTGCCTCACAAGCCCTCAGTCAGAACTAGTATGATGGTAGTTTGGTGTCATGCAGAGTGGGGGCTTTGGTGCCAGACAGGCTTCCCTGAGTATGTCACCTTGAGCCATTTAACTCCAGGCCTCGATTCTTTTAGTGGGAATAGATTGTGAGACTGTACCTAGACTGCCCAATACTGTGCCTGAAACACAGGAGAAGTTCAAGAAATGGCAGCTGTTATTATTATTCCGTCCCTCATTTGAAGGCTGACCTGGCAACCAAAGTGGAGAAGATGAGACAGAGCATCCTTGAAGGAGTCAACATGAACTATCCACCGCCTTCTGCTCTACTTCCATCACCTACTTTTGTGCCTCCCATGGTGCCCTCTCTCTACCCAGTTTCGCTTTACCCCCGAGCCATGGGCCCAATGCCACCTCCCCCTCAAGGAAGGAGCCGGGGGTTTGCAGGTCAGTACCTAAGAATGAGGTGTTTGTCAAACTCAATCTATTTCATAGTAACCCATCCAGTAATTATTGCCAGTTACAGAATCAGCAGTTTCACATATATCTTTACCTTCTGTGCTATGGTGTGGTTTGAAGAGGAGCTTACTGAGATGGAGGGGTATAGCCTGTGGAGGAGAGCCCACTGTCTTCCCAGACCACTCTCCATAGAGGTGATTGATCCCTAAGGATTTGACTCTCACCAAACCACTCATGAAGTAACTGATGCAGAAACCAAGAGTCACTTTATTACTTTTTTTTGTCAATTTATTACTTTTGAGAACTGTAATTCATGTGAACTGGGTCTTCATGGTTGCTGGTTAGCTCACTCTCTCCCCATAGGCAGATGTGCACAGGAGCTTGCAGGAAGAGCAATGGTAGGTAAGTAAATGACCAGTGTCAGCAAACAGCCATAGCTTGATGTACCCATTTCCACTCTGAGGGTAGATCTAACACATTTCCAGAAGCATGGAGAGAAATAAGTCATAGTCTGTACCCTCCAGGGGATTGCAGTTTAGTGAAGAAAACAAATACATACACACTCACATGGATCCACACACACATGTATATACACACACGTATGTATACATTATGGTGATATCTGAGCTGTGGCTTAATGACGAACAGACGTTCTTGCTTAGGTAGGCCAGATACTGACCCTGATAATTCAAACAACCTGTCCTCTGGCGAAACAGGGTATTTTAATGGGGACATTTTAACATGAAATACCAAGTTTCTGTGATCGGTTGAGAGTGCTATGGTTGAACTGTTTGTTGTGTATTGCTCGTCACTTTAAAAATAATAAAGCTGGAAGTTGAAATTTGTCTTAAATTTAGGGTCACAAAATTCAGCATGGATGTTTAGCTCAAGGCTGTGCTTAGAGGAGCAGTGTGAGTGTCTGCTCTGTTCAATCAAGTAATGATTAAGTCTCACAAACCAGGGAGCCAGCCATTCATTCCATCCTTTGAAGGTGTCTTTATAGATGCCTGCTCTCATTCTTTGCATGTTGACTTTACTGTGTCTCAGAAGACAGCCTTAATTAAGGCCAAGTTCTTGGGAGGTCCTCACCATTGCCCCAGCTCTCACTGATGCCTAGTCTCCAGTTACTAGTGGTTCATGAGGAGCCTTCTGACTCCTTAAAGGCCACAGTAGGATCCCCAAATGCAAGTCTTTCTTGCCCTCTTAGGATTAGCTAGTCACCTAGTTCCTTAGACTCCCACTTTTATATAAATGAAGGGCTCTTTGCTAACAACCTGCTAAGTGAGTGAAGAGTTATTAATATTTGGGTTTTTTCCACAAACTAAAATTAAAGGTTTACTAGAATTCTGTATTCTATGAAGGCTTCCTTTTGTGGCAAATTACAGAGCTGTACTGTGCTTGTGAGCTCACACACAGAGTTGGAGATTCCTGTTTTAAGGAGATCTGCTATCTTGTCTTGAATTGGTTCTGGTTTTCAACTGTTGCTATTCTTACTTTATAATCATAAATTACTGTTACTTTGGTTTCATTATTTTTTGTTTTGTTTGATTGTTTGGCTAATCCTCCAGTGTGTAGTGACATGTATTTGAATCAAAAGTGGTTTTGGCGTATAATTTTCCAATAGCTAGATCTTAAGACCTCATTCTCTCTCCACAAATATTGAATGCCTACTGTGTGCAGGCTCTGTAGTTGGAAAATGAATCAGGCACACCCCACTTGCTAAAGTGGATATGTACGGATCTTCAACACCCTCTTCCAAAATTTGCTTCCACCATGACCCTTTGTTGTTATCACAGTCTTTTTATCATAGAGAAATGGAAATACACAGAGTAGGTGGGCTGTAGATCTTTTGTTCCACCTCTTATCCTACCGTGCACTTACCATTCTTCCTCTCTTCCCAGGTCTCCATCCAATCCCACCCCAAGGAGGAAAACTAGAGATTGCCGGGATGGTTGTGGGCCAGTGGGCTGGCAGCAGATCCTCCAGGGGTCATGGCTCCTTTGGCATGCAAGTGGTTTCTGTCGGTGGGCCGGGAAAGGGGTATGTATTTGAATAGGTTGGCATAAGCTAGTGTCAATCAAGGTGCTCTTGGGAAAATGCCTAGCTATTCAACCCTTCTATTAAGGTAAGAGGCATTAACTAACTTTGCGTTTTTAAAGCCAGTTTTCAGTTGAGTTCAGCAAACATATAAAAATGCCCTGCCTTGATGAAAAAGTTTTTGCCCTAGAGGAGGACTTGGGACACAGGACAATTCGGTATGACATAGAAATGACAGAGATAGAGGTTTACAGTGGTAACACAGAGGAGAGGCATCTAACTTAAGAGGGTCAAACTTCCTAGAGGAGGTGAGTAGTTAACTAAGTGAAAATGGAGGTACAGGCTTTATGTGTTCCTCATGATCACTTTTCCCCCCACTTTCTAAAGGCATGGAAAAGAGCAGACTGGTAGAGGATCCAAAGGACATAAAAAAGGAAATAAACAAGTAAGTACCTTTTTGAGATGATCTTCTGTTTGATACCTCTTGTTGTTTGTTTTGTTTGTTTGTTTTTGTTTTTTTTAATTGCAAGAGATCAGGCATGGAAACCTGGGAGCTTTCATAGCTTCTCCCAGCATTTGATTTCATCCGCCTGCTCTCTAGCAGTCTAATGAGGGTTAACCTGCCCAGGCTCTTCCCACAGGGCTGCAGTGTCATCCTTTTCCCTGATTGAGGCCACAAGATAGAAACCAGGTACTGTGTCCTAAAGACCTACACTTAGCATGGTATGCACTACATGCAGCCATAAAGGGACCAAAGTGAAGTTAACAGTGGGACTCCACCAGCATGCCTGAACTTCTGAGGGGCTACCAGAGATGCTTAGAAAATTGGACTTTTGCCTTTGCTGATGATGGGAGGGGAGGAGACGTCGCCATTCTGCTTACTCTTTATGGTTCAGAATGATCTTAAACTCACTGGTCTTCAATAGGCATCCCCCCTTCCCCCTGTAGTGATCCAAAATCTTGTAATGGCCTAAGACTGCTGGGCTCCTCATAGTATAGTAGCTACCATTTCTTGAGTGCTTACTTTCTTCCAAGCCATCTACTAGACATTTTATATGTGGTTTCTAATCCTCACAAGGGTCACTGATTAGACCATATTGCAAGGCAATTTTATTGTCAGCCCTCAATCCCAGCTCAGCTCTCATGTATACAACCAGCCCTCATTGCATCCATGTTAACTCCCATTGTCTAATGTTTTCTCAAGGAATACAAATTTGCTTTAACGTTATTTTGAGCCCCAAATGGAACTACAATGGTAAGTCCCCCACACAAAGCATTTTGTAATGTACTCCAAAGCCAGAAAGCAGTGACTTTGGATTTTTCCAAAGCTTTTCAGCTTTTTCCAGAAGCTGCTCAGTAAGCAAAAAGGGATTGCACCAGGCAGGAAAACTAGTCACTCAGATAGTCTCCCATAAGGTAGTACAGCCTTGATGAATTCACCATGATTCAGGGACTGATCAGTAGGCATACAGTCTGAAAAACCTGATATTTTTGGTGCAATAATAGTGGATCCATCTGTAAGTGGTTGACTCACATTAACCAAGATCACAGAAATAGCTATGTGGATATGGCTAAAGGAGTGGGGGAAGGGAAGAGAAGGGAGGGGTGAAAGATAAAGTACTGATTTACAGTGAGAAGAAATAATTATTGTAATATATTGTACACTTTTTTCCAGTCACTCATAAATACATGTATTTATTATTCCCATTTTAAACAGGAAAAAACTGAGGTTCAGAGGGATGAAGCACTTTGCCCAAAATTACCCATCAAGTTAGTATTAGAGTTGACATTCCAGCGTGAGCTGACTGATTCCAAAGCCCCATGCTGTGCTAATTCTGAAACGGGATAACAACTCTAATTGTTAGAGATAAGATTCAGACCTAGGCCTGGCTGACTCTTGTATGCATGCTCTTAACCATGTCTACCGGAGCTTTCTCTCTCTAAGAGCAAGCTGAAAGGGAGGCCATGGTATCAGAAGTTTGCCTGGGGGCATGGAATCAGAACAGTAACATTAGCTGGCATTGAGTTCTTACAATGTGCCAGGCACAACATGTTCTACAACATGTTCTAAGTGCTTTACATGGAGTATGTCATTGAACCCTTATAGGAACCTATGAAATAGATACTATCATTCTCTCTATTTTACAGATGGGGAAACTGAGGGAAAACAAGGGATGGTAGATGATCTTAAGTTTCTCTTAGCTAAGATTTCTGGGGGTACTGTTATCTACTCTAGAAGTAGCCTGGCCAGGGAAAGCCTCACGTTGACTTTGTTTTTAGCTAAGACATCTTCCCTAGACAGAGCTGCTGCTGATTGCCTTGCTGACTCTCCTTTTTCTGTTCAGTTGCCCTTTCTCCAAAATCTGAGATAATTAATTTTTGCAGCTTATTAAATCTTCTTACATTACAGTTCTGTCTTCTTGAGAGTATTCCTAGGTCAGTGGAGTTTTGTGTGTTTTCAAGTTCTTCAGTCACTTACTTGTTACATTTTTATTTCTTTGTTGACTACCTCACATGGCTAATTCCATCCATTACTAGTTTCATCTTATTTCCAGGTTCTTGAGAAACACTTCACAGTTAACGCCCATGTTGTGTAGGTTTTGGAGCCAAATGATCTAGCTTTGAATCTGGCTCTGCCACTTACCAGTTCTGTGACTTTGGGCAAATTACTTAACTTCTCTGTGCTCTAAATTCCTCATCTATAAAAATGGAAGAATTGGTACCTACCTCATAGAGTTATTTTGAGTATTAAATGAGATGATATAGGTAGTGTTTAACACAGAACCTGGAACATGGGAAGTGCTCAATAAATATTAATAGTTATTATTTATAATTGACCACAAATTCAACAGGTATTAGACTTCCATTATGTGTTGTGTCTTAGTGGAAAGAACAATGTCTTTGGAGTCAAACAGACTTGGATGCAAGTCTAGGCATGCCAGTGACCTTGAGCAAGTTATTTTACTTTTTCAAGCCTCATTTGTCTTTCTTATCTGTGAAACCAACATCAGAGTACCTGGCATGCCCAACCACTGTTATTATTCCTAATAATATTCATTGAGAGCCAGTAATGCACTTTCAAGGTAATACAGTTCATGGTGTTAGCATTTCAAGAGCAGTTACATTTCTGAAATTAAAAGAAAACCAGATGATTCTTTTTACTTATGAAAAATTCTATGGAATATTGCACATAGATCTTATCATTTGTTTTCTTTTCCTTTCATTTACATGTCCAATTGTCAGTATTGGACAGCGTTGCGTGGAAGTTAAGAGAGTAAACTTTAGAGGCTGACCAACCTGGAGTGCAATCCTGGCCCCACCACTTTCTACCTGTGTCTCCTTGAGCAAGTTACTTTAATCTTTCTGAGCCTCAGCTTCCTCATCTGTAAATGGGGCATCATAATATCTACCATTTAGGGTCCCTTTTGGCATTTGAAAAAAATATATTGTAAAGCTTTGTAAATAGTAGCTGTGTCATTATTGTGTTGTCATTGCCACTGGATTTGAGTCAGATCCATTTGTTGTCACCCTAAGTTGTCCAGACAGTGTCAGAGTGTACTAGGTGTTAACAAGCTTTGGGCTTTCTGGTGTTTTTGAAGAACTGAAGCAGTTTCTGCAGGCTAGCTTATAAACGTGCTTGGGAAGGATCAGCCAGTTTGGGATTACCATTTCTACTGAATATCTCTGTTTTTGACAGAGCACTTCAGATGGTGTTTCTAAATCCCTGGAGCCTCATCAAGGTCGGTCTCGCTCACAGGTAAATGGAAACAATGGCACATTGATCAAGGAAGAGAAGAATGATCATCTTCCAGCTCCATCACAGTGTGCCTTAACCAGAGACAGCAGTGTGTGTAATAATGGTAACCGCTACTTCCCCGTGAAGAATGGTGAGAAGAGCCGCTTACGAGAGCAAAAGCTGGGAACTGTGGCACAACAGAAAGAGGAATAACAAGCAGAAGATGGCTTCAGCAGATCAGGAAGAGGGGAAAACCTATACTTTTCTGATTTTAGGCCCAAGTTAGAGGAGGACATAAAATGCTTACCCTAGTTTCATCCAGAATTTGGATGGGGTGTTCTATTATATCCATCTTTTCCCCTTCCCTGTCTTTTTCTGGGCTTCCAGACTCAGTGGTCTGCTTCTAGGGAAGCTCTGATCTAATATGAATGGCAACAAGCATAGTTCCTGTTCTCAAATTGAATATATAGTGCCAATATTCTCTTTACGTCCCCTGGAAGCCTATTAAGGCAGTGACTATCGGATGTCATCACATAAGGCCCTATAGAAAAGTTCCAGCTTTGGTTTTCTGAGTATATGGGTTCCTAACTTGCTTTTTTCTTTATGAAATAATAGGGCCTTCATATATAATCAGTATCCACATCTTCTAACTCTTTCTCCCCATTCACCTCTGCCAGGAGTTTATACTACCACCTCTAGCTCTGACCTGACAATCAGATAGGTAGATGTTTTCAGGGAAGTGAGGTAGTATTGGTTATTTTATTTTTTTAATTTTTTTTTAAATTTTATACACTTAAAATAACTACCAATGGCCTTTGTACTGGGGGATTCAAGTGAATCAGAAAAGTACTGGGCAGATTTTTCCTGCCTCTGAACTAATGAATTGTTTGTAAAATAGAAGATGTGGTGCAGTTCACCCACTCCCTGCTGCCCACACCCTGAAAGGGTGGAATCAATATAATGAAATTGAGTACGAAAGGGAACTCAAAAGATTGTGTATGCTTGTGTGTGTGTGTATGTGTGTGTGTGTGTGTGTTTGTGTATGGATGTTTGGATAGATATATATATATGAATGCATGTATCTATATGCATACACATACCCTTTATATAAAGAGACAAATCTATTTATCTATACATATTTTATATATATATAAATATATGTGTATGTGTGTATGTATATATAAATATAAATATATATATTTTGTATATATATATTTATATACATGCACACACATACATACCTGATGATGTCCCAGAAGATTTACTGAATTTCCCAGAAATGCTTCCACTGCTATGGAGTGGTAGGTTTCAAAAGACCACATTTTTAAATCCTTACTAAGTCATAGCCCATCACAATTATGAGAAGATGGGCTTCTCTAAAGCAGACAAAAAGTACTTTCCAGAGATTGCCTGTTCAGAACAACAAACAGTTGGGTTGTCACAAGCCTAATCTTGAACAGAGTCCTCACATCCCGTATGGTAAAAACAGGAGGTTGGAATAGGATTGGGAAGAGTTGGGCATTTCCTTATGAAGGAGCAGCCTGGTTGGGAGAGAGAAAGGGGATGGGAGGTAATTACCGGGGCTTGCAGCCAGTTTGGAGGAAATCTCATCTGAAACTCTGGGATCAAACTGGCCTCAGGCTAGAATTTATTGTCATTAATCCCTGAAGGAGAGAGGACTAACATTGGAAAGATGGGGTAGGGAAGTGTGAGGAAATCGGCAATTTGATTTTACATACCTAGATTGTTTCGTTTGTTCATTGACATTTTGACTACTGGATCTTTTCATTTGCTTTGCAAGGAAGACTTCAGAGGACTCTGGCCCGGGCCTATAGGAGTATTATGTAAAAGGTTCCCAGCCCCCAAGTGAGGCCAGAATCTGTCCAGGACAAAGAGGCTGTTCCCCCTTTCTGGAGATACTCTTGAGACAACCTTGCACTTCCAGTTTCCCTCCTCAACAGTATGAGAGATGGGAACATGGCTTGCAACAGATTAGCATCGTGTCTTCGTTCAGGAGTTGAGGCTTCCAGCCTCATACACTTCCTTTTGGGCTTTGTGATATTCTTGCCCAAGAAGTACCATTTCTACAGGAATACAACTGACTAGACTTCTAGCAGGGTTCTCTCTCTTTTTGAAAAACCCCATGTACCTTAACCCAGAGTAGGTCCTTGGTGATTTTTTTCCAGACAACCAGAAGGCTGTTTGCTCACTACCCACTTAACAATGAGTGTATCATCATGAGAGACTGAAGACAGTCTCAGACTGTTTTATCCTAGTCTGGCCCAATTTAAGAGAACCCACAACTTGCAGGGGGAGGGAGGTCTAGAATGCCTTTCCCCCTGCCCAGACACTTCTTACATAAACCAAAGCAGGATGACAAGAATGCATACCCAGCCAGATATAACCAAGAACAAAGTGTACAAAAACCTCCTCTATGGAATTGGCTCCCCTAATTTGGTTCCCGCCCTTCTCCTAACCTGCCCAACCTTTCACAACATCTTGAAGGTTAGGACTTCTGTATCCAGCAAGAGAAGGATTTAGTAGCGAACGTAGATGGCTTGGAAATTTCTTTCTGGAGCCACAGAGGGAGGAGTCCTTTGGAGCTCTAAAAGTAACCAGAATCACTGAGCTGTGTTAAATTAAATAGCTAACTAGCTCCGATTTCTAATAGGAAGTACTTGGAATTATATGGAAAGGCATTTTCTTCAGTTGCTGTTTCTGTGAATCTTGAATCTATTTGACACAATCAAGTGACAGTATTGTTAACTCTCACAGCATTAAGAAGATTTATTATTTTGTAGGCATTCACTGTGAGAAGTAAAATTGCTGCTTTGACAGGGATGATTCCAGTTTGCCAAACGGCTTGCTTTTCTCCCTTCCACACACCTCTACTTTCTCCTAGCCTGGCCCAGGATGAAACAAGTGTCTCACTTCCAACTTTGATTTTTATTTGGATTCAGCATTTTAGGTTTGTAAGGTTACAAGAAAGAACCATAAAGGGCCATGTTTTAATTTATCTGCCAAAACATACAATTTAGAAGCCAGAAAGACTAAGGTTTATTACTGGAAGATTAACTTTTTCTAATTGCAAGATTAACTTTTTCTAATTTCTTTCAAATTAGGGAACATGAGTCTGCTTTTTGCTGTGAGTACCACTTGAAGAGACTGTCATCCTTCACTTGAGGTTCAATTTCTGACTATGATGTGGCCTTTCTTGAACAAAGTCATGCATCATATGGGAACCCCCAGAAATGACCCCTTTACCTTGTAGGGCCACAAGCAAAAGCACCCTGGATGTATATAGCCACTGATCCCCAAGGACTTTCCCTTCTTGATTTCTGCTGGTGTGTATTGGGGTCAGCCTATAACTCCCACCCTTATTCAGTGGCCAGTCTAGTCTGGACCAGGCCTGATAAACTTCTGCTCACTTGTATCATTTTCATTCTGAGCCAGTAGGACTTTGGGTAGACTTTATAGCCCAAGAAATGGCACTTGCTTTGGCTAGTGATATTTGATTTTTGTCTCCATCTTGATTTCCTGGCATCGTTGGCCAAGTCACATTAACTTGTTTTTAATCACTGAGAAAAACAGCCAGGTAAGGCATTAGGGAGGGTGGTTAAGGAGGGGGGTGGGGGGAGGAATGCTTATGTAGGGTAGAAAGAATGTGGAAGTAACTGTTTGGTTATAGTGATCCAGTCCGCTGGAACCTTAGAAGGCTCCTGTGGGCCTGTCTGTGCTACCCTTTCAGCCTCTAAGACTCCCCCACCCCACTTTGAAATGACAGTACAAGTAGACCACAGTTTAAAGTAGTTAGTATAATTCTACTAAGGTTTAATCATTATACTTGTTTACTTCCTGATGCATATTTCCTAAATATGCTTGGGGTTTGGGGGGGGTAAGTTTTCACTGTTCCACTGTGTGTCGCCCTATATTTTTCTCCCTCTTGTGACTTTGGCATCTTCTTTTATTTGACTTTCCATTTTCTTTTCCCTTGGCTTATTGCAGTAGTCTGCTGCTGCAGGTATTCCCCTATTCCCCTGTTACTGCTAATTATCTTCAGTATTGTCAGAGGTTATTTTGATGTTCTAAGAAAATAACTTCATATATTTTTTTTTTACAAAATCACCTTTTCCAAGGTAAAAGCAAAATTTAAAAAAACCTATGCTAGGGTGCCCACTGCAGCTTTTGACATTGCCCTTGTACTTTTATAGATGCTCTTTTTGTCTGTGTTGGTAGTAACTAATGACTAGTGAATTTTCATGTAAATGCAACAAATTAAATATTTCAGATTTTATTAATCTCTCATAACCCTGCAAAATCTGATGACTTCATTTTAGTTACTTCCCAGAAGACACTTCCCCATCTACCTTTTATTTTATTCTATTCTGTTCTATTTTTAGAATAACATACTAGGTAAAGAAACTAACTCAAGGAGTCGTTGATTTTTAGTGCTCCCTGATAAATGATGTTATTGACAAAAGTAAAATCTTTCATTGTTTTTTCCTGTGGTAGTATCTCTTCTCCTGTGCTCTTGACAGTGTGTTTAGTGGATGGATAATATGTATTTCTCTTCCAAATTCCCTGCCTTTTTGGCCCACCTCACCACAAAAGCTCCATAGTTTATTAATGTAAGTTTGAATGGATGCTTCTTAGGAGAAACTGCAGGAATTAAGGAAAGTGTTTCAGAAAGGAATGAAAATGTCTCAGGAGTTGTTCTGTGATGGAAATTGGTCTGTTGTTCTGTTAATGCTGATGGAAAGAAACTTACAGTGCTTAATAAAAGTCTATTCTTTTAGTAAAAAAAAATGTGAAATAATTTTGGGTGTGCGAAGTTTAATTTCTTCTCCCATTTCTGGACTCCTTTCGGCAAATGGGGAATATACTTGTCTCAATTCAGAAGTGTTGCACAGAGATTTAGGAGCCTATTTGTAGTTGAATATCAGGGCAAGAGAACCAGTACAAGAAAAGGAAGGGCATATTTAGCTTCCTGCTGAACTTCTTTATTTGGATGTTCTAAAGGCACCTTTGACTCGACATTTCCCAAACTGAACCCATCTTCTCCTCTGAAGCCTGCTCCTCTCCATGAGTGACACTACCTTCTACTCAGTTGTCTACACCACAAACCAACCTGGGAGTTATCCTAGATGCATGTCTTTCTTTCCATCATTTCTCAAATCCAATTTGTGACAAGATCTGTTGGTAACACTCAACCATCTTTCTCTTTCTCACATCTATCTCTTTTCTCTCCCCACTTGCTGTGGCTTAGTTCAGGCCTCCTCATGTCTCACCTAAATTGTTGCAGTTGTTCCTCTGTCTTACTCCTAACCAGGCAACTGTGAGCAAATTTTGTGTCTACGTGTATGTACCTTTTCCCAGTGAAAGGGACCATACCTTTGTTAGTTACTTAAAGAAGTCTATGACCTAAGAGACATTAAGAACCACTGCTTTAATCCACCATGCTTATCAGCTTCCAGAGGAGTCTGTCCTTCTAACATGCTGCATGCCCATTTCCATGGTCCCGTCATAATCTGGCTCCTGACCACTTCTCCAGCCTCATTTCCTGCCACCCCAACTCATTCCAGCAACACTAAATCACATCCTACACACATTAAGCTATTAATATCCATTTCTTCTCATTTGCTTGTACCATTGCCTAGAATACCTCTCTCCCCTTGTCTCTGGTGCAGTCTCAACTTTTCCCCCTAAGCTTCAGCTCATATCTTTGTGATTCTTTTCCAGATCTCTTACTAGGGACCCCTGTACGGACTCCCCACAGCCAGTCCCTGTAGCACTTCGCTGCATCTCTGCTAGTAGATTAAACTTGACCATCTTTGTCTTCTTGGCATCTACCACCGAGCATGCACTTAGAAATGTTTGATGACTAAATCAAGGACAATTAAAACACCTTTGAAAATGTTCCCTGGTGCAAAACAGATTGTAGATTTGAGGCAGAGGATGTGTTGGTGGCAAAAACACAAGAAGATTGAATATGAAGGTTCATCACTGAATGGTATGCATTTAAATATGCTTTTAAATGGGGCTCTCAAAAAAAAGAAAAAGAGTTCTGAGTCACCTTTGAGCAATAGACTGATGCTTGGAGCAGAGTCTGAAGCCAGGACTCTAGGGCATTCTTCTTACCTTACTGCTTCTGCTGAGTGTTGCTAGCTGGTCTTGGCCTCCCTGGCTGCTCTGTGCCTTGTGTGTACAGATTACAAAAGGAAACAGCTGAACCTAAAGGCGAGCATTAGAGGTTACCGAAACTTGTAAATACTTACCCTTAAATGAAAACTATCATTTGTAAAAATTTGTTTTGTATTTGGTTCATTATGGCTATAGATGTCTTTTCCTAACCTTTGATCTTTGAGTGTTGGGACTCAGAACTTAATAGTGGGAAATCCTTAGCATTTGGCTTTTAAAAGTTACTGTTTGCTGAGGACCTATTAGGTACCAAGCATAGTACTAAGCTATTGTACACTGTTTCTAAGCTTCAAACAACTCTGCAAAGTAAGTACTATCCTCACTTTACACACGAGCAAACTGGTTCAGTGGTGCCCAAGTTCACACACAGCTAATAAGTGATAAAAACCAGGGTTCTAAACCTATGTTTTGACTAAGTAGATAACTCTTATTTCTGCCTCCTCAGCATTCCTTCCTCTTTCTGGCAGCAGTTAAGTGCAGTTTTTTGTTTTTCTTTTTCCTTTGGGGAACTGCTCTTTCCAATCTTGGGGTAGGGATGGGTTGACCATCAGCCACAACATGGCTTCACCTCCCCGAGTGCAGGGATGGGTATATGACCCAAGCAGCGTCAACTGTGTTTTTTCATGGACTTGAGGGATAAAGTGACCAAGAATGAAAATATCTCTTCTAAAATCACAAGTATTAGGAATAATGTGAGCCTGGAACATTGTCTTCTATTTATTTCTTCTACAACTAGTCTTTTATTTGTGTGTGAGAAATACGAAAATTCTGTGCTCATTTATTAGGAGCAAATGCATCTATCGGGGGATTACTATGTGTCAGAAAGAGTTCTAGGCAGTTTATTTTATATATTTTAAAACATTTTCATCTTATTATTCAGTCCTTACACATTTATAATCTTCAACTCTAGAAAAGGGGAGTGTATCAGTTTGGATAGGCTAGGTTTTGCTGCTATAATAACCCCCAAATCTCACATAATAAAGGTATACTTCTTGCTCATTATGTCCAACATGTGTTGTCAGGGGATCTCTGTTCATCCAAAGCCACTTGATAACTCAGACCAACAGAAGCCGCATCACTGAGTTGGGAAGGAATGTGACCAAAATACACACTGACTCTTAAAGCTTAAAATGTCACACATCACTTCTCTCTTTTTATTGCCCAAAGAGATGGCCCACATGGTTGCACCTAATTTCCTAGAGGTGGAAAAGTACAGTTCTACTATGTCCCTGGAAAAAGGGAGAGGTAAGTTTGGTGAGTCGCAATAATAGCATCACAGGGAGAAATGACCCATTTCTGGGTAGATTTGACTCATTGCCTTTTGGCTGGTTGCCATTACCTAACCACTTGAGTCAGTATACCTAAAATTTGTAATGGAATAGTGAAACATTCATTCCCATTCCAGTGTCATAGGGATTCTCTGCATGTGGGCTGAAGTGGATGTAATCTTGTGGTAACACAAGCATTGAGTTTAGCTCCCCTAGCCCACCCTGTGGGGGTGGTTGTGAGGATTAAATGACATAGTGTATGTAAAATGCCTGGCATATAATTCAGCCTCAATAAATGTTAGCTGTTATGGGTTTGGTGGGGGTGGGAGGGTTGGTAGTAGATGAAAGACTTGTCTACCCTCCCAGTCCTGATTTCCTCATAACACATTTCTTCCTAGCCTGTAATCTGGCATCAGCCCTTCCCATTTGAATGTGGCTGCTTCCAAAGGCGACTAGTGTGCTCCCAGTCACCAAGTCCAGGGTTTTCATACAGGCATCTTGCTGAGGACTTCCACAGTAATTGACACTGAAACACAACCCATTTCCTGAAATTCTCTGGCTTCCCTGACATTTCTCTGCTATTTCTCTTTCTTTTTTTGACTACTTAAAAAAATTATGTATTATTTGATAAACACAAAAGGATACATGTAACATATGTTAATGAAATTCAATTAATAAAATGAACACTCATGAGCCCACTGCCCAACCTAAGAACTATTCCATCTCTGCCTTCCCCAGAGGTAACCGGTATCTTGACTTTTAGTTTTCATTCCCTTGGTTTCTTTTTAAATAGTTACATCACATATGTAATTATTCCTAAACAATATATTGTTAGGTTGTACTTCCTTTATAATTTTATAAAAACGTTATTTTTATGTAGTGTTCTGCAACTTCCTTTTCTCACCCAACTTTTTTTTTCTCTAAGACTCAAACACGTTACTGCTGTAGCTGTAGTTAATTTGTTTTCACTTCTGTATAGTATTCCATTGTGTGAATATACTACAATTTATCTACCCATTCTCTGTCCAATGGAAATATGGCTTATTTCCATTAATGTTACCGTGTATGCTTGTGCACATGTCTCCTGCTGGGACTGAAGGCATGCAAATGCTCACTTTTATAAGATAGTGACAAAATTACTTTTAGAAGTAGTATTAAATGGGAATAATAATGCCTGCTTTACCTCCCTTATAGGTAGTTGTGAGAGTTACACAAGCTAGTGGATGTGAAAACACTTTCAATACCTTAAGAAGACACAGTTGAAAAAAAAAAAAAAGTTGACATGCTGGTTTTGAGTCCAAGCTCAAACTCCTAAAAGTTGCCTCATGTGCGTACTGGTTTCAAGGACCAAAAAGACAAGGCTGTTCTGTGCCAATTTAAAGTATTCCTAGAATTTTCTCATGACAAAGACTAGATTCTTGGATTCTGAAGCAGATGTCTATTTGTTTTCCTACCTGACCAGCAGCCTTTCCTCATTTCTTCCAGTAACAGCACCTCAATTTTCCAAGGAACTACCTCTATTCCATTTTTGGAAGTGTCCTCAAGTGCCCTGCTCTCCCTAGCCAGCTCAGTGGGGTTTATTACTATTGTCATGGCTTTGTTTGTTTGCTTGCTTGCTGTATTTTGCTTGCTCTTTAAAGACTCCTTTTACTTCTGATAAGTCCAGCATGATAAATTGATTACAAAAATGGCCATAGTTGTTCACATCTCCCTGTATCTACACCTTTTGCAGCTCTTCCCATTAAGAGATGGCATCTGTTTCTCCACCCTTCAAATCTAGACTAGTCTTATGTTTTGCTTTGATCAATAGACTGTTGCAGAAGTGATATTATGTCAGTTCTAAGCCTTGCGTGCTTCTGCTCACTCTCTTGGACCCCTGGAATTACCATGGGAATGAGCCTGGACTAGCCTTCTGGAGGATGAGAGACCCATTTGTCTAGCTATATCCAGCCAGACCAGCTTAGACCTGTCAGCCACCAACCAACCCACCAGCAGACCACAGATACATGAGTGAGCCCAGCCAAGATCAGCCTAGCCTAGTGCAGATCAACAGAGCACCAAGACTCATGAGCAACAATAAATGGTTTGGTTTCAAGCTACTGAGTTGTGAGTTGGTTTATTATGCAGCAGTTGCTAACTCACACATCCAGCAATACAATAAAAATTATTTTTTATGCAGGATCTAGTTGTTCTTTAGTAGGAAAGCCCTTCAGGATATTTAGTCTTCTGTACTGCCTCTCCAACTACTTTTTCATTTCCTTCTTAGCATGTCTCTTAAGATTAGCATTTCTCAGAGTTTCTGTTTTCAGCCATCTTCTCACTATTCTTTCCCCCTGTTC